GATGTTTTGCCCGAATCTTTGGGGCCAAACACTACCAATTTCCTCACCTTGTGAGGCGTGCTGAACGCGAGCAGGCACTGATAGAGTTTATTTAGGAACCGTACTCGCACGTCGTCGTCGGGAAAGGAGTTGACAATGCCTTCTCGAAAATACCCAGGCTTCGGCGGTTTGGAACTGTCATATGGAACAAAAGATCTTGGCGACAGTTTTCCACGCATGGATTCCGGGATAGGACAGACGATGAACTTTCGGGCTTTGATCGAGAAACAGTACCCGTTTGATACTTCAATGAGATCCACGTCAAATTTGATCTACTGAATTATTGCGCATGCTGGATGAGACAGAAGTCTATCGACCGCTTGAAAATGCTGAATCAGCTTGTCACGCAACACTTCGTTAGCCAGAAGTTTATGCAAGTAACTAGTTACATCCATCATTTTTACAAACGTTAAATTTGACCCCTCTGGTTTGGTGTAAATTTCTGAACGATATAAGGCGTGGTCGTATAACTTCATGCATTTATCGATGTTGTTTATCAAGGCGGCGACATCGTTGTTGGATGAGAACGGTGGATTGTCCAACTTTACAACGCATGCGTTACCGAGATCAACAACAAGTCCGTCTGATTCCAGCTTTGTAACTGCTGTAGCCACACGATCCCAAACCTCGCTTTCGTTTACGACGATTATACAGCAGGTGACATTGGGGAAATGAGTTGAAACAAACTCGGGTTCATCATCCTCTTCATCATCATCTGACGGCGTTCCCTCGGAATTCTTGTAGCAATACGTGTTTGATATTTGGAGCATCTCCTGGATGGTATTGTTGCTGTGATCCTTGACCACTTGGAATAAATGTTTTGCAGCTTTTTCCATTTCATTATTGCTATCGGATGATTTTCGCACTCGAATTCGCGTTACCTCTGCATCTAATTCTTCGTTGTGAATGGTGGAAAACAAGATCTTCTCGTGGCAAGTTGCGCATTCCTTGTACACGACGAAGTAGGCAATCGCTGGGTAGCTTTCAGGCGTGTAACTTGTTTCGTTGTCGTCGTCTTTCGCGGATTTTGCGTTGCACATGACACTTGTAACGCAGGACAAAAGGAATTGAACGCCGTTCATTGAAGAAACCACTTGGTCAAGGCGAAGTCGCTTTGAAGCGATATGATTTCTTGCGATGTCAATGTCTGTTTCGCGAACTCTCCAAACAGCACGGCATGCTATCGCTTCCAACTGTTCGGTGATCTAGACGAATTGAATAAATTGACTGCATGAATTGCCGTGAATTCAGCTGCATAACATGCTATTATTGACCACAGGGCCACTACAATGAATTAAGTTTGCTCAATAAACTTACCAATTGCAAAATGTTTGCTCGAAGTGAATCCTCGATCCTTTTCGAGTCCAATTGCTTGCGAGGTCGCGGTGGCATTTTCAAAATGATGATTTAATATACTTTAAAAAACAGGCGTTTCGTAAATCGTCTATGATTTTTAAGCGTTTGGAAGTATCTACATTTGCATAGCAACGAAGTGGAACAATATATTTTACTTTGGTCATCCTCATCATCATCATCATCATCATCATCATCATCATCATCATCATCATCATCATCATCATCATCATCATCATCATCATCATCGTCATCATCATCATCATCATCATCACCATCATCATCATCATCATCATTATTATTATTATTAATGTGATACGTTAAATGAAATGCCCCCTTGATCAGCTGTCGATAATATGTTTTAAGCGATGTCTTTATCCGAGAACTTACCTCAGTGAACTAATTCAAGTAATTTGGCTTCTGGAACTGTCCTGAATAAATGGAAAAAAGTCTGTACTATATATATTAATACATAAGAAAGGCAATACTGATGAACCGTCAAATTTCCGTCCCATAACACTTTAGTCCATACCATTAAAAGTATTTACATCTTGTCTTCGAAACGCAATATATTCCTTCCTCGCATCCAATAATTTTATCGAACACGGCATACAAAAGGGCTTCACCCCTAACTTATCCGGCACTCTAAAACACACCGCTCAAATGGCTGACATCATTAACAAAACCCGCATCAGACAACGCTCTGTTGTCATCACCCTACCTGATCTGAAGAATGCTTTCGGCGAAGTCCATGCATCATAATCTCATCCAATCGGTACGCGAATACCACAACATCCCAGAACACATAAAATTCGTTATAAAAAGTTTATACACTGATTTCCAATCCTCAATAATTACTTCCGAATTCCGCACCCCTTTTATATCTGTTGGCCGTGGCGTATTGCAAAGAGATCGCCTCAGTCTTCTTCTTTTCAACATGTGTTTCAATACTTTTATCCAACAAACCAGACTAAAAAGTACTGTCAGTTTGGCTTCTCCTGCAATCTATTAAATTCTATCCACTGGTTCCAGTTCGCTGATGACGCAGCCGTAATCACTGGCCAAAAATCTAAAAACCAGCATCTTTTAAATCGTTTTTCCATCGGATGCTAATGGTCCAATATGATTATCAGTGTCGATAAATGTAGTACCTTCGGCATCAAGAAAGCCATCACAAAATCAGTCCAGTATTTGCCGAAACTCTTCATCAACAATAATTTGATACCAACAGTAAAGATTGGAGAAGCATTTCAATATTTAGTGAATGGAGAATGGAGCCATTCGTTGAGCTATACGTAAGCGCGATAGATTATCAAAGGCCTATACTAAGTTTAAATCTTCCTTTAAGTGGGAAAAGTACCGCACTAATAGAAATCTTGTTGTCAAATTGATTCGTAAAGCTAAATTAGACTACCAACAAAAAACTAATGAACTGCTGTCTAACCCTGAAACATCGACAAAGAAGTGGTGGAACGTAGCGAAATCGTTTACGGTTCTGAGGCTGGCTCAGCAATACCACCATTATATGAAGATAATGAGTATGTATTCGATTCTAAAGATAAAGCTGACTTGTTTAATGATTTTTTTGTTAGTAAGACTTATTTACCAACTGAGACTGTAGTACTACCTGAACTTTCTCCCAACTTAAATTCTACTTTATCAAGTATTATTGTAACTGAAGTTGAAGTTGCAAATTTAATTAGTCAATTGGATACTGCCAAAGCCTGCGCGATGGATGGAATTAGTAATAAAATTATTAAGCTTTGTAATCATGGCATTTACAAGTCTTTCACGAATTTTATAAATATATACATCACTTTCTCTTGGTCAGTTTCCACAATCTTGGAAATTAGCAAACGTTTTACCACTCTTTAAAAAAGATAATAAACAAATTAAATCCAATTACCGCCCCGTAGCACTTCTTTCTTGCTTAAGTAAAATTTGTGAGAAGGTGGTTTTTATAAAAGTGTATACCTTTCTTGAAAGCATTGGCTTTTTCTACCGATTTCAATCTGGTTTTCGTTCTGGTGACTCTACTGTTATGCAATTGGTTAAAATAGTCAACAAAATATATAATTGTTTAGATAGAGGAAATGAGGTACGAGCTGTATTTCTAGATATATCAAAAGCATTTGATAAGGTTTGGCATGCTGGACTATTAGCAAAAATGAAAAATCTTGGTGTAGAAGGTACCTTATTAAATTGGTTTGAATCATATCTTAAAAGTCGGCAGCAACGAGTAGTTGTTGAAGGCAGTAGCTCATCTTGGAAAGAAGTTAACGCAGGAGTGCCTCAAGGATCTGTTCTGGGCCCGCTTCTGTTTTTAATATATATTAATGATATTCAACATGATATTGATAGTGACTGCTTTCTTTTTGCCGATGATACTATGCTATTGCAGGAAGTATTCTCACCACAATCTGCGGCTCAATCTTTGAATATAGACTTAAATTCTATTTCACTGTGGTCTAGTAAATGGTTAGTCACAATGAACGCTTCCAAAACAAAGAGTATGACTTTCTCCCTGAAAAAAAACAAACCTGATCATCCTATTTTGAAGCTAAGTGAAAAGCCAATTGAAGAAGTAAGTTGCCACGAGCATTTGGGTGTCCTACTTTCCAGTAATATGTCTTGGAAAGTTCACATTGAAAAACTTCACCAAAATGCTTCAAAGACCCTTAACCTATTGAAAGGCTTTACATTTAAATTGCCTAGATTAACCTTAGAAATTTTGTATAAATCTCTTCTTCGCTCTAAGATGGAATATGCTAATGTTGTTTGGGATGGGTGTACAATAGGTGAATCGGACCTGCTCGAAAGTGTTCAGTATGATGCAGCAAAATTAATTTCTGGAGCAATGAAAGGTACACGCAGAGAAAGTATGTTGATTGATTGCGGGTTGCATACGTTAAATAACCGGAGAAAAATACAAAAGTTGTTATTATTGTACAAAATGGTTAAAGGTTTAGCTCCAAGTTATTTGTCGGATCTTTGTCCTGTTTACGTAAGCCAAAGAACTACATATAGGCTTCGGACTAGGAATGATTTAAGTTTACCTTTCATTCGCACCGAGAAAGCAAAAAAATCCTTTTTGTATTCTACAGTTTTTTATGGAATAATCTTTCTGAATCCACGAGAGAATCTGCAACATTTGTTCTCTTTAAAACTGCTTTATTACGTGAACGATTTTATATACCTCCTGTCAATAGATTGGTTTATTTGGGTGACCGGTATTTTTCGGCCTTACACACAAGATTAAGACTAAACAATTGTGGTCTTAATTATTATCTTTTTTCAATGAACTGTGTTCTATCTCTATCTTGTACCTGTGGTGCACTTAGTGAAGATGTAACTCATCATTTATTATTTTGCCCTCGCTTTGCTGCTCTGCGTGCTTCAATGCTTACCTCTGTCATGCGCCTTGCTGGAAATGTATGGAACGTTTTGAATATTTCTCAACAAGTGGACATTCTATTACATGGTTCAAGAAATCTAAGTTTTGAAGTAAATGCTGCAATTTTCTCTGAAGTACAATGGTATATTGGGAGTTCTGCACGTTTCGCATAGGATATTTATGCAATTGCCAAGCGATCCTTTTTTGTCTGTACTTGTGGTGGTAATTGTAATGTAATATTGTAATTTATGTTTGCATGAACCCCCTCGATGAGCTCTAAGCGTTTGGGGTAAATGTATCTAAATATTGTTTAAATAAAAAAAAAAAATAAGAAAAAAATAAAAATATTTAGGACGTTACTTTGATTTTAACATGTCGAATAATAACCATAAGACTGAACTAACCACTCTCATTAATGAACTGATGATTGATATTGACTCGAAGCCACTCCATCCAAAAAACAAGCTTCTCGTGTACAGTCGATTCAAAAGGTCTTATCCAAATTATCCTGGCATTTCAATGGGAAAATCACATAGATTCAGTCTCGAAAAAGATTACAAAAACCGCTGGAATTATAAACCGAGTTCGACATTATGCAAATTTGAATACTTTAAAACTAGTGTATTATGCTTTAATCTATCCATATTTAATTTAGCCAATTTTGTCTGGAGAAATACTTACACAAAGCCAATTCAGAAGTTACTAAGGATACAAAAAAATATTGTGCGTTTAATGTTATTTAAATCAAATTTTGATCGCACTGATCCAATTTTTCAAGATTTGAAAACACTAACTCTTCCCAAAATCAGTGATTATTTAACTCTTCTATTCATGTATCGTTACCACAAAACAGGACATTTATCAATCATATTTAATAATCTATTTGTAAACAATAGTGACATTCACCATTATAAAACTAGGAATGCTTCCAATCTTCACAAAAAGTATAGAAGAACAAATTATGTCAATCATTCTCTTGCTAGTAAAGGTGTTGATATTTGGAATAAGCTCGACTCTCATTTAAAATCAATCAATCCATTGATTGGCTTCAAAACCAAATTGAAAAAATCTCTATTTGTAACAGATAGCTGTAAATATAGTAAATATAATCACTCTCCCATATAAAAACATTTTAAGTATATTTTATGGAATTATACGTATTAGTTATTTTCGGTACTTTTGTCGTTTATTATCTTTCTTCTAAACATTTGACTGTAAATAATTTAGTTAATCAATTCTTTATCAACTAGGGGTCTTAATTCAAAAGCCTGTCCAGGTTTGTAGTAGACCTCTAGGCCTTACATTAATTATTTTACATAATTTCTATTCTTGTAAATACTACTAGGCGAAATCGTTTAAATAGCCTAAATAAATAAAAATATTGATCCCGTAGTCAACCAATACATCCGTAAATGGCTTGAAATTCCAATCTCAGGAATACTAAGTACTGTTTTTCTAACTTGTAACAAATATGGTCAAAATATTTATCCTCCATCGGTGAAATTTATCCAATGCCAAACAGTTCTTCGAAAAGCTTTAAAACTTTCTCCTAATCAATCAATTAACTAATATCCAATACGACTTTTATAACTCAACCAAAGAAGTGCTTAAAGATTTTCGCTCTGAACATAAACATGAAGATAAACTCAAAAACCAATTAACTTGTCAGGGATCCTTTTTCTCTAATGTAACAAAGTTCTCCATGTTGCACTATCCTGGCATTTTCCTGTTGCTACGATATCTAAAACTTGGGTAGTCGAAAATATTGATTCTCCGGTGAACAAGTACGTCCGAAAATGGCTGGAACTACTTATATCTGGAACATTAAGTAACATTTTTCTAACCCGTAATAAGTTTGGTCTAAATATCCTCCCGGCATCCGTCAGGTTTATTCAGTGTCAAACAGTTCTACTCAATGCCCTAAAAACATCTCCAAACGATTCAATAAACGAATTGTGGAAGTCAACTAATAACCATATTAACATTCAATACGATAGCTTCAATTCAACTAAAGAAGTTTTAAAAACTTTGCATTCTCAACAAGAAAATAAACTTAGGGACCTTTTGAAATGTCAAGGTTCCTTTTTCAAAAATGTTTCTAAATTTTCCCTCTCACAACTTAACGCAATCTGGTCGGTATCGCAATTAAGGCTACTCAGGGGCGTGCCGGGCGGGGGGGGGGGGGATGTTACACCCCCCAGTTTTCTCTTAGTTTGTCGGTAAAATCGGAAAATTGAAGGCTTGTCGGTAAACTGGTTAATTCATCGTCGGTAAACTACTAAAATGAGAAGTAACAAAAAATTTATTAAAACTGAAGCAATTATTCTGCAATTTCATCTGGTATTTCGTTGGTAAATCAAGAATTCAAGATTTCTGCTGGCGATTAAATGCTCGATCATGTCTAACAGAATAATGTTTATTGAGAAATACGTTATTCGATAGTGGTTTTACATTGATATCCTGTGGTCGGTTAAATTGCGTCAGCACGCGCTGCGCTAATCCTGTATTCGCGTAATGTATCTGCCAACAATAATATAATATAATATATAATCCGATAATCGATGCGCAATTTAATAGCATTCACCGGCTCACCGCATTGTGTATTTGTGTAAATTATACAACATCGCATTTCAAAATCGTTACGGTCGTCGGTTCTTTCGCGCAATTGCTTTTAGCTGAATGAACAAAAATTATATCTATATATTAATTATATATAAGCACTAAAATATAAAACATAGACAAATAATAAACTAATTTGCACATTTAGAATCAGAGTATAATCGCCTTAACTCAACATCTTTCATGTATAAAAGTACTACGTAATTTATGCTTCTCTAATTCTTGTGTGACAAATTTTGTAAATTAAAAATAAACTTGTACACATAGCGCGTCACATACTATGATGCATACGCGTCGGCTGACTCGCGTACAGCACATCTTAGTGATCTTACTCATTTCTGGCATTTTGTTAAAGCGTTTTGAAAAAGCAAACTGCCACGATACGATTGTGTAAACATCTAGTGAATTTGCATTATTTGCGGGTGGGCCAAATGACCAATGACATGGCACACTGCGGTAAGCACTCCCT